TATACTCAATTTGTAGGCGCTAATTTAATGGTGCTACATAGAAATGGAAAGTTCGCAATCGGAGAGCTGAAATCATCTCTTTTGTCATAATGTATTGTTCTCTACTGACCCTCATTGTCAATTCCTAGATTAAGTCAAGCTTTGAGACAGACCTAAAAGTATCAGTTGCATCCTTTATTTCAATTGTGATGGGATATAGATGAGTTCTAGAATATCACCAAACTTTGAATTATTCGACGAGAAGACATTATCTATATAGCGGAATGTACAGGTCAAGGACAATGCTATATTATTTTCATTCTTCCTTAAAAGTTCTTGTATGAAGTCTACCTTATATGGACAGAGGAACACAGTTGGTTCCCATTTGAATTTGAAAAACAAGGCTCCAAACGAAACAAATTGTTTGTCAATCAAGAAATCAAGCATCTTGATTGATAATGTCTATTTCAGAAAAGTATGATTTATTCCTCTTTAAAATAGACATATACAAATTCTTTCGACAAACAAACAAACATTGGTGGCATTAGCTGTTTTCTGCTCTTAAGTCGAGTTGTTGTCTCTCTGACACACTCCTCGTTTCCATTCTCATTTTATTGTCATTTATTGTAATTACCAATAATGAACAAGGACTTAGTTTACCTTAGACTTTCAGATATTTTTTGCATTGTGTATATTATTAAAATGTGTTTATAATTATTATAAATGAGGACTATTTGCAACTTTTCTACAGTTATTCTTTCCCTACGACCATATTAACTACTTGTATAAAACACAAGTGCGTTATTTTGCATTCCTCTGGATGTTGCAATTAAGAAAACAATCATGCATGGGCAAATTGTAAAAATATTCATTCAAAGCAACGGGAACAGATCATATTTTTGTATAATACATGTAAGATTTAAGTTTAACTATGTGCTTGAGCGCTACTGAAGACCAACACTACGGACAACAACATTTTACCTGGAAAAAACTATTTTAAGGTGAGAAATAACTTACATACATAACTTTTAATAATGTTCTGCATCTCAAAGTCAATGTTTAGATTAAAATAACAAGCAAAGATTCATTTACTAAAAAACGTTTCTTGAGTGTTATTTTATTTATTACAATGATAGTTAACACCATGTGCTTTAAATACATTACCTGTGTTCATTTTTCAGATTTCGTCCTTCATCAACATTGCTTCATCAAGGTTCGCGATGCATGCACGACGATGTTAATATTATGCACGAAAACATGAAAGATTTTGAACAGAATAACGTCTAAAAGAATAAAAACAAAACAATAGACAGAAAACTAAACATTGAACAAAACACAAAATCCTTTAAAACCCGGATGTGAACTAATGGCACTATAATGTTGATATTTGAAAGTAAAAATAACTACGGTTATGATACAATCCAGGAGAAGAAGACGGATTTGTTGAACATACTTTTGGAAATCTGTAAAAAGTAAAATAACAAAAATACCGAAATCCAAGGAAAATTGAAAACGGAAAGTCCCTTAACAAAGGGCAAAATCAAATGTTCAAACACATCAAACGAATGGAAAACACCTGTCAAATTCCTGACTTTGTACTGGTATTCCCTTAAGTAGAAAATGGTGGATAAAAACCTGGTTGTATATCTAGATAACCTCTCACTTGTAAGACAGTCTCATAAAATGCCATTATATGTGTGATCAGAACAAAAAGACAAAATAGGTAAACGTGTCAAAAATTGGGACACAACATTGTGTTTTAATATTATTCACTATAAAAACAAACAACTTAGTCAACAAAGAAAAAAACAAAAATGACATGTAGATACTTTATAGACAAAGCACATAAGCAAAAAAGAATGACAAAAAACGACTATACCACAATAGCACAATGGCGAGATGTATAAATACCGAGCCACGCCAAAAGATATTCCATAATATTCAACTAAAAGTCTGATGTTATCAATACATACTTGGCAGAGAGACTTCCACCATTTTGAACACTTTCATGTAAGCATTATCAAGGAAATAAAAAAAGAAAGAAATATAATTGAATACAATCAATACGATGATTACAACTGAAACAAGCAGGTATAACATGCAGTGTATGTTTAATTTCCTCCTGCTTCATTGCACTTTTAAAGGTTAACTTAAATATGTTTTGAAATCTAACTGTCAGTTACTCGTTTACATTTTCATAGGCGTACATTCAGATGCTGCTACTGCTGCTGCTGCTGCTGCTGCTGCTGCTGCTGCTGCTGCTGCTGATATTGATGATGACGACGACGACGACGACGACGACGACGGCGGTGATGATGATGATGATGATGATGATGATGATGATGATGATGATGATGATGATGATGATGATGATGATGATGATGATGATGATGATGATGATGATGATGATGATGATGATGATGATGATGATGATGATGATGATGAGGATGATGATGATGATGATGATGATACTTATGGTGATTTTGATGATGATGATGAGATTGATTATGATGCGGATGATGATTATGAGGATAATGATGAAGATAAGCTTTTTATTGATGATAATTATGATTAAAAACTTGATGACAAGCAAATATTATTTTTCTCCCCATCATGACCGTAGTTGAGAACTTGTTTTTAAAAAAAAAGACATATAATTTGTAATTATTGCTTTTTTTTATAATAAAGCAAATCAATATAACAGTTATTATCATACGTTTCATTAAACATATTCAGTTAATTTAAAAGTGTCTCTGCAAACAGTTCTGATTGTTTAAAGGCTTTTAACATGGACGCAAGCACACGGAATTAGCTTTAATTTTTCTTTAATTTTTATAGATTACACATAATTTCTTTAAATTTACGTAAGGTTACCAATCCTTATTTTTTCGATATATTCAAAGTTTATTTATAATTATGACCATTTCAGTAGATTATTCATGTCAACACAGACATGCTGACTAAAGGATGAAAGGCAAACCATTAACGATTGCACTGTAAAATGGACCAAACCAACGACTGGAAGAAAAAAACCTGCATCATTTGCATGAACCCCAAAAGAAGCGAGACCGAATGCGTCAACAGTATATGCGTATCCTGCTATTGATGCACCACCCGCCATGTTAATTTACAATCAGACTAAATGTCACAAGCAGGAATAGGACACAATTGGTAGTCTTACAGATTACAGTAGTTGTCGTTTGTTGATGTAGTTCATACGTGTTTCTCGTTTCTCGTTTTTATATAGATTAGACCGTTGATTTTTCCGTTTGAATGGTTTTACGCTAGTAATTTTTGGGGCCCTTTATAGCTTGCTGTTCGGTGTGAGCCAATGCTCCGTGTTGAAGGCCGTACCTTGACCTATAATGGTTTACTTTTATAAATTGTAACTTGGATGGAGAAAAAATGTGGAGAAACTAACAAATTGAATAAATTCTGTAAGATCAATATATAATTGAGATAGCTGTATAGTTTCATGAAAATCCAAGTTGATTTTATTTTACAGGCACGTGACTATCTGAATTTAGTCCAAACTGAAAATTCTAGCTTTTTTACCTATTAATTAAATCCTTAAATTTGACAGCAATACACCAAAATACCAAACAACCTGGCATTCTGTAAGATCAATATAAAATTGAGATAGCTGTATAGTTTTATGAAAATCCAAGTTGATTTAGAAAAGTTATGAAAAAATTTAAAGGTGACTATCAGAATTAAGTCCGAACTGAAAGTTCTAGCTTTTTTTTACCTATCAATTAAATACTTACATTTGACAGCAATAAACCAAACAACCAAACAACCTGGCATTTTGTAAGATCAATATATAATTGAGATAGCTGTAAAGTTTTATGAAAATACAAGTTGATTTGAAAAAGTTAAAGAAATAATTAAAGGTGAATATCTGAATTTAATCAGAACAAAAACATTTAGCTTTTTTTAACCTATCAATTAAATCATTTGATTTGAAAGCAATGAACCAAACTACCAAATAACCTGCAATTTTGTAAAATCAATATATAATCAAGTTAGATGGGCTGATTCAGACCAGTCGAGACCACATTTTAAGGGCAAGACTGAGTTGAGACAGGTCGAGACTGGTCGGTACTGGTCGAGATAGGTCAAGACTGGTCAATATTGAGTCGAGACTGGTCGAGCATTTGTCGAGATCATATTCAGACTATACCAAGATTATCAAGAACTCAATCAGACATATTAAGTAAAGTCGAACCCAAATTCGAGTACAGTGAAGTACTGTCGAGATTATGTCGAGTCTCGTCAAGTAAAATCCTTGATCGACCTTACTGGTCGAGCACAAAATATGGTCTTTTCAGACTCTGAGCAGTTTGTAGTGTCTTAATGATTTACGGGCTTCCGTACAAGTTTGTTTGTGCCATTAGATGAATGGAAAAGTTACGCTTTCAATGCTCAATATGAATGAACTTTAAATTTGGTTTTGCTGCAAAATGGAAAAATAATTTTTCATAAACGGTGTTCAATCATGTATGGGAAAATAAAAAATACTTCCTCAAATAAAAGACTGATTAATGCTGTAGGGAATAAATTGGGTAAAATATTCAGTACTATACATTAGCATTTCAGATTAATCAGTTTAATGTCGATCTGTGCAGGTAAATATCAACTACTTCAATGGCTGAAAATAAATTTAACAGATCTAAATTGACTGCAATCGTAATGTCCGAACAATACTTAATTTACCGCAGTGGATAAGTCTGAAAACTAACTGACAAACTAAACATGACGTAATATATTATTGTTCAGTCTTTAAAGAGCTTTTCAGATGAAAATGACCACTTTAGACCAACATTGGTTATTCAGTATAGGAAAAACACTGTCAGTTACTGTGCCATTTAGGATACTGAATTACATTAATGATACCAACATTCATTTAAGTCATCGATAAGTCTGGAAATATGACTTCGATGCATAAAAATACAAAATATGGCTCTTTTTCTCAAAACAAACAACAGACAACCAAACCCTAAAGGATTTGCAATGACATATTACACTTTTGTGTATGCTTTATTTCTAACAGACAGACTTTATTTATTTCTGGCAAATATATCCTCCTTTTATTTCTGGCAAATATATCCTCCTAGTAAACTTCCGTTTTCGCACCAGACAGAGTGAAACTTGTATTTCCTGAAAGCATAGAAGAATATACAATCTTCTGAACGACTAACTGTTCCATCTGGTTCTGCGCTATCAAATGCAAAGTATGTCATTTTCACCATATCTCCGTTCTTCCGGATCCATCTCCAATCTCCACCAGGCTTATATCTATTGATGTTACGTCCTCCGATGAAATAGTGCACGCCTTTAGAACAAAAAGAAAAAATTACAGAAAATGAATATTTCAATGAGAGTTGTTTCATTGGTAATCATATCACACCTTCTATTTTTATATATCAATGATGTCAATTCACATGTTCTGACCCCTGAGTTATCTGAAATTACAATTGTCATTTGGGATGTAAAAAAATATCATACAAGGGAACTTCTTTTTTTATCAGATTATTCAAGTGACATTATGATCATAACAAGCTTACCTGTATTCAGTTTTACAAGTTCGTGCTTCATCAACATTGCTTCATTTAGGGTTTCAAAGTTTGCTAACGATGCCCCAAGTAGTAAGCACTTTGCCTGAAAATATGAAATAGTATAAATGCACTTATTGATATATACTATATTCTGAAAGCATTTTATATATATAAATTGCACACATTGGCTTTAGGCTATATTCTGGAGCTTACTTTTAAATTCTTCAAAAACTTTAAATAAATAGAAAAAACGATATTTAGAAAAGCAAATTAGTATTATCTACAAGTATTTTTTTTCACTTGTAGGTATGTAAAAATACTCTGTTTGATAGGAAAACACTATATAACATCTGTTTCACAACTGAGTTTGATTACCGAAGATTGGAAGATAATTGTCAGTTTGAACACGAAAAACACATAACCTCTTTGCAAATCTATCTTTTTTCATCTGTCATATTTATTCATCTAGATAATATAGAGTGAGGACTTAGTGAAAATTTATGTGAGATGACCGAAAGTGTCTCCTGTTTATTGAAGCTGGTCTAAATATGGTGTGCCCGTTATACCGAGGCTCGTCTCCTCTAGACAGAGGAGTTCCACCAGCCTTTGTCCACCCTTGCTATTATCTTTTGCCAGACCTTATATTACAAAAGAAAGCAAAACTTACAAAAGCAGCATCACCTGATACAGTATCTTTGTGTATTAGATAACATCCTTCACCAACTCGTCGGTATGGATGACTGCATTCATCTGTTAATACAAGTTATATGCCAATAAGGTAAATGGAATATTGTCATAGCTCGTCAACTTCGTGATTCATTGGCCTTTTCACTTTCGTAATTCGAGAGTAACTGGTGAGTATTATCTACACGAAACAATGATCTGGTAAACAAATTGAAGCCTGGTATTTATGGTGATTTTATGGTAGAGAGGGGCAAAAGATGCAATTGGGACATTTAAACCTCACAAGTCGAAAAAAAACTACCACACCATGGCTAAAAAAGAAATACAAAAAATAAACAGTCGCAAATTACAACATAGAAAACAAGATACTGAGCATCACGAACTCCACCGAAAACTGGAAGTGATCGCAGATGCTCCGGAAGGATAAGCCGATCCTGCTCTACATGTGGCACCCATCGAGTAAGAGAGCTTACCCAAAGCCTTGGCCTGCACGATCATTCAATTTTTTTTTCCAATTTCAAATTTTTTGTTATTAACTATATTGTCTAAAATAATGATTTTTACCACAAAGAGCTTTTTGGGGTTTGCAAATATGCTAAAAATTGAATCTTACTGCGAACGCATATTGTTTAACCTCATATTTAAATCTTTCAGCCCACAAAATGAAACAACCTAGGACGTTACAGATTAGGACCGAAAATGTCGATACTACTAATATTTTTATTATTTTAAATCTAAGAATGAATTGAAAGCCATGTACTAAAATTATAATTATATCTACAGAAAAAACACTTTATTTTAATGAGTTTCACTTAAAAACTGGATACATACCATCATGGCAATGAACCAATATAAGTCCATAAATCACCAACACATAATACGTTTTCACTTTCATACTGAAAGTGGGTTATTTCCAAAATGAAGATAGACAATGACAGACAGAGGTTTATATATACAATATTGAATTTCGCTGTAACAGATTTACAGTACTTGAACTCGATCCAAAACGAATCTTTGCATGATCGTCCATATAAGGCAACATCTGTTAAACAAACACATATGTTTCATTACAAATATCTGATACAAAATCAGAGTCAATATGCTTAATTGTCGAAAGATAAAGAGTAGCCCACTCAATTAAAAGCGTTCAGGCTAATTTAGATTGGTATACATATATACATATGTTATTAAGCAAAGATATAGCTTACGAATTTCTTGAATAAAGGTCAATCATTTAAGTCTTGTTTTGTGTTTTTACACAGCTGTTGCTTTCTAAGTTCACAATTTTCATTCAGATTGAAAAGCAAAGGTCAAGAATCCATTCTTTTAAATCAGGGAACCCTCTGTTTATTTAAATGTATTGCAAACAAGATAAAGGCAATATTATAATTGCAGGCATATTAATGAAAATTAATCATTGATCGAAGTCAAAGTGTTAGCCTGAAGTTAGCGAAACATATAGTATCTTCAAATTCAGGACCACATAATTCATTCATTTAATTGGACCTATTTTAAAGAAACAAAAAGCACATTTTTAATTGACTAATTGAATTTTTTTGTAACCACAAATAGAAGGAAATAATGCACATTAGTTAATAATACAACACTACCCACAAAATTTTTTCACCAGATATTAGTAAACGAATTCTGACATGACAACAACAACAACAACAGAAAACAACAATAACAGCAACAACTCAATGGTAATAATACTAATACTTATAATAATAATAATAATAATAATAAAAATAATAATAATAATAATAATAGTAATAATAATAAAAATAATGTTATTATTGATAATAATACGAAAGAGCTATACATCTTGTTCAAATTGCTTTTATTTTGGTTTTTATTTTGTTAGTCCGTTCTGTAGTCTGTTTGATTTTGGTTTGTCTCTATCATTTACTCTGAACTTAAAACTTCTGATTTATCACTTTATAAAATGTAGTATCCTCAATGCATTTCATGACCAACTATCAGAACTTGTGGATAGATGTATGACTGTTGAACATCCAGGTTGTGCATTTAAATATGGCATGAATATGCTTTTGCATTTTGGTCAATGCTTTTACTAGACGGGAGTTTCGCCTAAAAAAATAATCAAAGACGCTCGAATAAAAAAGGTATAAAGGCAAAATATCGAAAGGGTTTGCCAAATTCAGCTAAGGTTACCTAGGGGGTAAACATCCTTAGCATTTCCAACAATTCAAAAAGTTTTAACAGTTAATTCATATCTATGACAATATCAATCATAATTCATATCAACACAGACGTGCTGATATATTCAATGGAAGTGTTATATGTTGGTATGATTACTTTTTCATCATATAATTTCAATGAGATATTTTGTGAAAGTTTTATATGCCGGTAAAAAATAAGGCAAAAGGTCATCAGCCGCTGCAATATCATCAAACGATGCTCTATCCAAGAAATAGCTGTGCGTGTCAATGTTTGAATAAATATTATCTCCAGGGTATTAATCATGTTAATGTTCTTAAATAAACGCCAGGGAAAATGTCTAAATCTATCGCATGACAGCTATTTTGTTTAAGGAGGGAAACGCCTTTATAAAAGTAACACTTATTCTTAGAAATAATAAAACATTCTTAGCAAACGTTCAAACGTTCTTAGCTAAAGTTCAAACGTTTTAATTTATTAGTTCGGGTATTATATTAATAGGATATTTCGCTGATTTTGATGTTAAAAGTTGATGTTTAACATCCTATGTTGTAGTGATATAATCATAATATTATATTCTCTCATGGTTTTGGTCTGTTATCTATTTCTTGCCTGAAGATATATTTCTCGTATCACACTGTACGGAGTGTGATACGAAAAAGTGATACGAAAACTGATTTAATTTGATTGGCTTATCCAGCATCATGAGACGATTTTACGACATTTACATTGGCTATTCGTTAGGTCATTAATGCCTTTCAAAGGTTAAGACGATGTACATTTCGTCCATGCAACGGCCAAATGTGATTTCTTCAATAATATACAAAACATTCACACTTTTCACCTGCAAATCTTCTTTTTGTCAAATTTTATTACATTCTGAAGAGTACAAAAAGTTTTAAAATGTCTGATATTAAAGTTTGACACCGGAAATGGACATATGACGTCACTCATGGTATATGCAAAAGACGAGATGAGTGATTCACGGAATTTTTAATTTAAAATAAAAATAGTGTTGACCACAAGAGAAAAATATCACTAAGGTATACTCCGTCTCTCCTTGTGTTTCAGTACTTAAACGTTCGGTTTTAAAACTACCCCATCCAAGATATCAGGTTTATCCTTTTGCGCGCGTTTTGTCTCTAAATGACTGATCAGTGACAATCTTAAAAAAAAACCATCACACTGTTTTTTTAAGCTTATTAGACAGCGAAGCTTAAAATTCACTTTAGAAGTTTATCCAAGTATTTTAATATATTTACATGAAGTACACGTGGTAAATTCGTTTGAAAATTGTATAGTACGTGTTAAGTTGTATTTCCTTTCTGAGACTACCCGTTGTGCAAACAATTTAATCTTTATTTCAATTGACCTTTTCTGGAATAAGACATATATATTCATACACAATCAAAGAATGATATGCTTTCAGGCAAAATTCTTACAGCGAGGCTCATACCTGGCGAACTTTGATACCGCGATGGAAGTATGAACTACAAACTATGCGTATAGATAGTTATTTGCCAAATAAATGGTTTATATTGGAATTAACTACTGCTAGTAGTAGACTTTTAAACAATGATAATTATAATTTAATCAAATTATGTATAAATACAATTTCACTATGAACTGCCATGATTTGAGATGAAAGATCGTAACGTTGAAAAATTAGAGAACTCTTATTTGTCTGATATTGTATAAAATATGTCCTTTACATATTCGCTATGTATGATTATTCATGAAAAAGAGAGGCGATAGATAACAAAAGACATTCAAACTCATTCGTGGATATGAAAATCACAACGCAATGACAAAAAAAGGACAAACAACGGTACAGAAACACAACATAGTAAACTAAAGACTGAGCAATACGAACTCCACCAAAAACTGAGGTTGAGCTATGGTGTTTCAGCAGATCATGAACAGTATATCAATACAGCACAACACACTAACCACAGAAACCAAAACTATTGACATTATCAACATATGTTCTGTAGGGGATGACTTGGTACAGACAGGAAATGACAATGAGTTAGATCAATTTAATTTGCACAGATCAATTTTATTTGCGCACAAACATCCCCGCTTGCCTTTCTTCTCTATTTGTCGTAGATGAAAACAAATCTCGTCCGTCGGAACAGTTTTTATAGGTTTACCTTCACCAGAAACGCTTATGCCAAAACATTGTGAAAGCCTTTGATGTATAAACATGTAGAAACGTTATGTGCTATTAGAACAAGAGGGGACGTAAAGGCGAACTTAACGCACGTAACAAGGCACATGAGATCACCTCCAGTTGAAATGGGGTTCATGTTGCCCAGTCTTTGGTTTTATATGTTGTTTCGTGTACTGTTGTTTGTTTGTTTGTCTTTTTGTTTTCTAACCAGGCGTTGTCAGTTTATTTTCGACTTATGAGTTTGAATTTTCCTTTGGTATCCTTTGCCTCTCTTTTAACAAAACATACATAGTATCACATCTACCAATAGGACGACACTTTCTTGGAACAGCGTATAAAAGAGAGCACATAGTTTTGAAATCCTTGTCAAAATGTGCTTTTGCATGGAGCTTGCTTCCTATTGTAGACAAAGCTTTAAATTTAATACAGTACCATCCGCCTTAGTAAAACAGAAACATCACCTGTGACACGCATTTATGATGATCCAACATACAATTCAATGTATTCATTAGTTAAAGATATCACTTTGCCCTTTTAAAAAATTATTTTCGTTTTTGTTGGAAAGGATTGAAATAACAAATAACACTAAGATATCACGAGATACACAAACCATCGGTACCTGTTAATTTGCTAACCTTTTCTGAATGTGATTTAATGAACAAAGTTATCCAGGACTAATGATAAACGAGACAGTACAAATTTCATAGTAATATAATCAACACCAAATTAGTTGAACGGAAATAAAAATAGTTTGCAAATTTAACATGCAATTTTAAGTTAAATTTGAGTAAACAGGAATGAACAGCGCACATATGGCAGGTAGTAATGAAATTTCAAAGGTACGTAGAAGATCGATTTTAGTTAACAAAATGTGTTTCCATTATTAAAATGAAATTGAATATCTGATGTTTTGTATAAAAAACAAATAATAGTATCAAGTTTTATTTGGAAATATCTGCGGTATTCATAATGATAATATTCACTATCTGTGTGTTTGTACTTCTTTTGGTTCGATGTCATGCGGGTATTGTAAAAATATTTATGCGTTTATTTCTGAAAAGAAAAACCATCCACACACACATACACATACATATACACATACGCACACATATATATATTACTCTAAATGTCAGCACAACAATGTTAAATCTGCAAATTTGCGGAAGCAAATTTTTATTCTTCCCTCGCCGGGATTCGAACTCATATATATACACATAAATATATTATAATCACATACATATTACTAAACAATTGCCTTTTCTGAATTCGTATTGACTATATAGACTTAAAATCCTTTTTTTCAAAATTCTAAATAATATAACAATTGATCATTAAAAAAAAAGTATTCCTGATTTTATATTCATTATCAAATTTGAAAAAATCAGTAGACAAAATATCTTTGCTTTAACAAATGTACTTTTATGAAGTCGTCCATTTGTATTTTTTTAGACACAGGAGAAACGACCATATGTATATCTTGTAGTATTATATCCGTACACTGTTCACACGCATGACTTGACTTCTCACTCTATTTATTGCAAGGAGCTTATTTTATCTCTTATGTCCCTTTTTATTCACCAGGGTGTATGTATCATGCATTAAACAGCTATATATATTTACAGATGAATGCAGCTACCCATACCGTCGTGTTGGTAAAGGATGTTATCTTATACAAAAAGATAATATATCAGGCGATGATGCTTTTGTAAGTAATTAAGTCATGTGCATAAAGACCTGTAAGGCGAAGTATAACAGCTTTGGTGGTGTAAAATGGTTAAAAACTTTATAGAAATCTACCTTTATATCGCAATTTTCAGTGATCACGAACACACTCTTCATTTTTAGAAATCATATAAGTTTGGGATAATATGCATGCAGTCTCTGTTATATTTTGAGATATCTATATGACAAATGTGTTAAATGTTTTAAACTTTGATATCATTACAGAATTTTATTTTTTTAAATGTTTATTGACCTTTATTGTTCTTATCGACTGCAAAGAGTTTGTGCTATAAGACATATACAGTCATGGAATATTATATTTTAAGGCTAAATGCTTACGACGAGGCGTCTATCTGGCGAACTTTGAAACCCTGAATGAAGCATTATTAATGGAATATGAACTAGTAAAAATGAACACAGGTAATGTATATAATGTAAAGATAGTTACTGTAATAAACTGTAAAAGGTAAACATAAAAGCAAAACGCATACTGATTGTACGCTATGAATAAAATAACAGTGTACCTCTCTCTCTCTCTCTCTCTCTCTCTCTCTCTCTCTCTCTCTCTCTCTCAATCATCCCAATCATTTATTAACATTCTAGATAAGTTTTGTAATAGAAAACCCCTAATGATGTAGTAATTTTAGAGCTTAAATAGATATAAGAAGATGTGGTATGAGTGCCAATGAGACAACTCTCCATCCAAGTCAAAATTTATAAAAGTAAATCATTATAGGTCGCAGTACGGTCTTCAACACGGAGCCTTGGCCCATACCGAACAGTAAGCTATAAAGGGCCCCAAAAAATTACTAGTGTAAAACCATTCAAACGGGAAAACCAACGGTCTCTGTAAAGTATATTTATATTTTTATTGAAATGCATAACTTACTCGTCATACCATGGAGGGAAAAGTAATGTATGACAGTCTTACTTATATTATCAACACTTTTTTGTTTAGACATATGCGCACAGAGTTAAAACAGCTTTTTTTCAGATATTCACAGTTTTGTTTATCTTAAAGGTGTACACTATTATATCGGCGGACGTAACATTAATAGATATAAGCCCGGTGGTGATTGGAGATGGATCAAGAAGGATGGGGACATGGTCAAGATGACATATTTTGCATTTGATACAGGGGAACCTAATGGATCACTCAGTGCATCGGAAGATTGCATGTTTTTCTATGCTATTAGAGGATACAGGTTCCACAATGTTCGTTGTGCAAACGCTGGTTCATATGGAGGTTATATTTGCGAAAAATAAATTTATTTATAAAATATTGAGATTGTTTTATATTTTGCTCTCCATTAGCTATCCATTTTGATATCTGTCAAATTTCTAGTCCTCAACATGTCTGGGACTGAAACTAATTTCGTTAAATAACCCAAATGACGTCTGATGAAAAATTTCATCATGACCATGAAGTCAAATAGTTAGGCTCTAGATGTCAAGTTTGGCATCAGACTTTTCGAAAAGGTACATAGTTTTTGTTAAAACAGAAGGAAAGTTCTATTTGGTGTAGTCACAATTATTTTCCTCGGTTAAGGTATCACCTAATACGACTTATAACAAATAGGTTTAACTTGTAATGAGAAACACAGCTGGTGCCTCTAGTGGAGCAGGGCCTGCGTACTTTTCTGAACCACCTGAAATCACCCAAGTTTGTGTAGTTGGTCAGCCTTGAGTTTTGGTAAAGTGCTTTTTAGACTTTTGTTTGTCTATTTATGAAAATAAGAAGATGTGGTATAATTACCAATGAGACAAATATCCACCAGAGACCAAATGACGTAGAAGGTAATAGTTATAGGTCACCGTACGGTCTTCAACAATGACCAAAACCCATACCACAAAGTCAGCTATTTGTCGTTTTTCTTTTTGTTCATGGTTTTGTCTGTCTTACTTCGACTTGTGATTTTTATTTTCCCATTGGTATCATCTGTCTCGATCTTTTTCATGTATACAATATAAACTGTATACACATTAATTGTAAAGATGAAAAACTTCTTCCAACTAATCATATAATAACATGAAAAACTATATCAAAATATAAAAGATGTACTTCTACAGCTCAGTCGGTAAGAGCGCTCACTTGCTATGTAACACAGAGGTCCCAGGTTCGAGTGCCGGAGGAGACAACGTAATGTTGTACTGAAAATCATGCTCTCCGGTTACACACACATAAATCAAAGGTTTTATTCCAATTTCAGAATATTGTTTTTCATTAAGTGCTTTTTATCGGTTAAAAGCCCATTCGATGGGTTAACAACCGCAGCAATAATACCATTTATTAAACTCCATGTCAAAATGCCAGATTTTGATTGGTTAATACGAGGGAGACAATTTTCTCTATCCCATGGCAAAAACTCTATTACCCTTCACGGAGACGCTTGCTCAAGTGTGCGCTTTAATAAATACGGATGATTGTTATGTACAAGACGGCATAGTTTATTACTTTGAAATTGAAATTTAATAGACAGTAATAACAGAACATTCAGTATAATAAATTAAATAACACATATCTGAGAGGGTGATAGAGCAGATTGTTACCCCTCGAAAAGACATTGTCAACCTTGAAAAGCGCTTCGGACGCATGAAATTATTAAACCTGTTGTTTTCAATTTTTTACATCACTGGGTCGATACCTCTGTTGGTGGACTATCAGTCCCCGAGGGTATCATCAGCTCAGTAGTCAGTACTTCGGTACTGCTATGATTTATAACAAATCTTTCTAAAATTGTCCGTTGTTATATTTTGAAATTATAAAGAAACTAAGGTTTCAACTCCCTCAGGCCACGTTGACCTTAGATGAATTTGGCTTTTTTTTTAGGTATTTTTGTCATATAGCTCTTCGACTGTTTCGGTACTTATACATCCCTCGGATTTCAAATGTTTGGCTTTGAGGTGTTCCTGATGAAGGTAAATCCAGAAAAGCGCTTCGGACGCATGAAATTATAAAACATGTTGTTTTCAATTTTTTACATCACTGGGTCGATACCTCTGTTGGTGGACTATCAGTCCCCGAGGGTATCATCAGCTCAGTAGTCAGTACTTCGGTACTGCTATGATTTATAACAAATCTTTCTAAAATTGTCCGTTGTTATATTTTGAAATTATAAAGAAACTAAGGTTTCAACTCCCTCAGGCCACGTTGACCTTAGATGAATTTGGCTTTTTTTTTAGGTATTTTTGTCATATAGCTCTTCAACTGTTTCGGTACTTATACATCCCTCGGATTTCAAATGTTTGGCTTTGAGCGTTCCCGATGATAGTAAATCCAGAAAAGCGCTTCGGACGCATGAGATTATTAAACATGTTGTTTTCAATTTTTTGGCTTCTCCTCAGTTGACAATGTTTTCTCGGGGTAACCATCTGCTCTATCACCCTCTCAGCTATGTGTTATTTATATAATGACCCTCTCCGGAATAAAGAGCTTTTTGCTTTTTTTCCAAATTCAATATTAAAAATATCTGAATAAGGTTTTATCTCCAAAGCATTAATTTTCGTTCAAATCAACTCAATAAGATTTTTTTTCAAAGGCTATCGCATGACACTCATACCTTTTATCCATGAGTGAAACAAATAACAAACAAAAGAAAAAAGAGTTCAAAATTTCAGATACAGTAAAATATGGTACTGTATTTCAATAACTTAAAATATTTCATTTTAATAAATCAATAACTTTGTGATTTGAGACTTCAAAATGATGGAATAAAAAAGAATCTTTTTTTTTAAAATTTGCCACTGATTTTAAAAGAAGTTGAAATAAATGAATTCTTTGGCACACACTTCTGAAAAAAAAATACATCATAAAACCATTTTTAACAATTTAAAACACATGCATTTTAATCCTCATATGCCCCAGTACCGTTTACAATAGATTCAAAAGAGAATGTCGTCGTTTAGCTTCTGGGCAAATGCATATTGTCAACAGAATATTCGCTATGCCTGGAGCAGATCCGGATTTAGGAAATCGTTATTGCACCCGGATATGTAGTTCAGCGAGATAAATAAGAAGGCGATGGGAAAACCATGACACGGGGATAAATATGTGTGCCGTTTGGTAAGCTAACACGGAGAAGACTTTTCGTCCAAGGTATGAAACTTTGTATTTTGAATTAATTTTTTCCTGTCATTTGAAATAGAAATGTAAAATCAAGATTCGCTTTTATATATTATATTTCAATGGTTTGATTCTCAAAACTGTTCTAGCATTTTATTCAATGTTTTAATTGCTGTAATCTTTCATAGTTGTTTCATTTCACTTAAAATGATTAATATTAAATGTGATAGAATTTGTTAAAATAATAAAAGTTACAATTGTAAAGATAAAGCATTATATATTAGATTGTTCTACAGGCAATGCGATATAAGAAACATTAAATTGTATGGACTTTTGAATTTTGTTGTTCAAAGGCAAAGTATCTAGTTATTTGTTTTCTTTACATTGACACACATACAGAGGTTTAAACTCAATGACTAAATGTAACAAGATAGACAAAAAACTATCCACACAAAAAGGTTTTGATTTTGTGAATTATACACACACTAAAAAAAGAGTATTTGAAAGTGTGATCGTTGGTGGAAAATTTACTGAGGATAACTCGTTGTATGATATATAGATCAGGTCAATTTGAATTTAATGATATATTTAGAAAATATCATATTGTTTCGATTAATAACACAAACAGTACCAATTTTGTCATTTCGAAAATAAACGTCGCCTCAGTGATGGTAAAAAAATAAATGTATCTTCGTTGAGGCGAAAATATTTGAAAATCCAAAATCAACTTAAAACGTTGAAGAGCTTATCAATAATTGTTGTTAATTGGAGATATTTAAAAAAAAAATGTTCAAGTAAAGTATTTTTTACTTGACAGTGAAAATAGTATTTTTCACTCCTTACTGATATTTTGACTATTTTTCAGATGAAGATATTGCTATTTATAGTTTTATTATGTTTCATTGTTCGGAATACACATCAACAAGGTAAAGTTTTATAATTAAGAGAAGGTGCACATTTCCAAAGTGAGATGAATCTCATATGTTATTAGAATAGAAAATGGAAACCGGGAATGTGTCAAAGAGATAACAACTCGACCAAAGAGCAGAAAACATCACAAGACCGCCAAAGGGCCTTCAACTCAGCGAGAAAATCTTGCACCCGACGGCGGTCTTTAGTTTGACCCTAAACACTAGTGTATATTAGTTCAACGAAATGGACGCCATACTAAACTCCGAATTATACCAATGAAAAAAAACAAAAAAACAATTAAAACAACCAGTCTTGAGGTGCCTGATTTTGAATAGGCACATTAATGCAGTGGGGCTAAACATGTTTTGTAAGATCTCAACAACCCCTACCCCTTATAGCTCTGTCGGATGTGGAATAAACCAACACACAGCAATACCAACATTAAAAACATCAGTTATAATAAGTCCGATCTAGAGTACACAATTATACTTACCATTATTTACACTACAGGAGAGGAAAAGGAAATGCCTCATTCCAAATTACACGAGATTAACCTTCGTGTATGTTTTGAAGCTAGCCTAAAGGTTCAGGTAGTCTGTCTTTATTTTAACATTTTATTGAAATGTTTTATATAAAACATGTTTAAGTTGCTAACATCTAAGTCATTTTGTCTGTGGTGGATAGTTGTCTCGTTGGTAATAATTATACCACATCTCCATATTTTTTTATGATATTCTTTTTTTCATAATTATGATAAATAAGAACTATGTTGCTACTTTAATTCATCTATCCTTTCCCTACGACAATATTAACTATATGTATAAGACACAAGTGTGGACATTTACATTCATCTGCACGTTGCAATTAGAAATAAATCATGCATGGGCAAAGTGTAAAAATATTCATCAAAACTGCAGGTTTAACGGAAAAAGATCATATATTTGTGTAATACATTTAAGATTTGTGTTTAACTATGTTATTGAGCGCTACTGAAGACAACGACATTTCACCTGTAAAAAACTATTTTAGGGTGCCGCCTTCCAACTTACACATATATAATAAACTAATAATGTTTTTAACCAAACGCATCACCCAAACTTGTGAGGACACAATTACGAAAATTGCACAAAAAAGGTCTTCTGGCAAGAAGGAACTGCTTATTTATCACACGCAAAAGTTTTCAAAACATTTCGGGAACTTTTATGAAAATACAATTGAAGAGAGGCGAAAGCTACCAAAGAGATATTCAAACTCATAAGTAGAAAACAAACGGACAACGCCATGGCAAAAAAAAAGACCAAAAAAAAAACAAACAACAGTATACAAAACACATCATAGAAAAATAAAGACTGAACAATAATAACCTCTACAAAAGGGGGTGATTGATATCAGGAGCCTCAGAAGGGTAAGCATATCTTGCTACTCATGTTGCATTGAAGTGAAACTAAACAGTTTTAAATCGTTGCTTTTTAGTTTGAAAAAATATTAGAATAATGAATAAATTGAAAAAGAGTATACTGAAAATAATGATCAATAAATCAATGAACTAAAGCATAGAGAAAAAATATTAAATATAGAAAGTAACTTCCCTCTATCATCTTGACCAGCAACCTCATTAAATGTGTACCACTCTAGATAATAATCTTTGGTTATCGTTTTGCCTTCTTAAAACCTTTAGAATTGTGTTTTGCAGGTAATGTTTGTAATGTGACTAGGGACATTATTTTTTTAATTGACGGATCTAACAGTATCACCGATGCGGACTTCCGACAACAGAAACATTTTGTGGCTAATATGATAGATAATTTTAAAATTGGGAAAGATTTTGTACGTGTTGGAATTGTGGTATTTAGCAGTACCATAGGTGATATTGTTCACCTTCAACCATCAAAATCAAAAGATGTATTGAAAAGTTTAGCAAACAATTTACGACATCCAAAAAAAGGGACTAATACAGCATTGGGAATTAAACGCGTTCGACAAATGATGCGAGAAGAAGGACGGTCTTTCGCGTCAAAAACGATGATCGTTGTTACCGATGGTCTATCAGCCTCACCATTTCGCACATATTTGATGACTTCTTTGGCCAAGGCGGAAGGAATTATTGTTATTGCAATTGGTGTAGGAAACCCAACATTGAAGGATGAGTTGAAAATTATTGCAAGTAACGGAGAGAAAATGTTCCAGGTGACCAGATTTCAAGATTTGGAATTGATTAAAAATGTTGTGGGAAATTCTATTTGTCAACGTAAGTATGTTTAGAATTGGTCATCAGCAATACTTTTTTGTAAAAATAGCCAGTCATATACTATATTTCATAATACACGTAAAAAATGTGCACCTGTCCTAAGTCAGGAATCTGATGTTCAGTAGTTGTCGTTTGTTGATGTGGTTCATAAGTGTTTCTCGTTTCTCGTTTTTTATATAGATTAGACCGTTGGTTTTCCCGTTTGAATGGTTTTACACTAGTAATTTTTTGGGGCCCTTTATAGCTTACTGTTCGGTGTGAGCCAAGGCTCCAGTGAAGACTGTATCCAAATACACACAGCGTATTCATGATAAATGCCAAAGATAACGACAGAAATCAAAAGGATGATCAATGTAAAAGCAATACAACTTGATGCAATTGACCAAAACAAACGAAACTTGTAACTTTAATGGAGAGATAGCAAGGATAGGGAGACAAAGGTGTCTAACTGAGTCACCAAAATCTCTTACAATAGTAAACCTTTTTTTTGATCTGACTCGGTTATTTTGATCTGAACACGTCTTAAAAGACTAAACAATACGTTTTTACGTCCTTTTAAGTCTTTCATGCTTACCCACAGCGTTGAATTCATAACTGTTCAGATGATTTGCTTGTAGTAAGTTAAGATCTGTTTTCAGACTTTTCAGTAGATGTTATTTACCTGTACAAATCAACAGCAACCGTGATTGTCTCAAAAGTTACTTAACAGTACTGAATTGACTATAATCAATTTGTTTGAACAGAACTGAATTTATTGCAGTGGAGAAGTCTTACAATTGACGTTATAATATAGTGTTCAGACTTTTCAGATAATGTTAAGGATAAAATGAACGTTTCAGACTAAAACCTGTTCACTAGTGTAACAGTAACATCACACTAGGATGTTCATTTCTTATATCTTAACTTTTTGATATTGTTGAATATTTTCTAGGCTATGCGCAAAAAGGTTTTTGACAATATTTTTCTTTATGCTAGGTTTTCGCTGTCGTGCGATCCGTTACGAAGAAAGAGAAACATTTATCATTCAGAAACGTCTCGTGATTGTGCTAATTAATCCTCATCCTGTCTGAATATGCACTGTTTGCAGTACAAAATGTGTTTTAAATGTCACCTTTTGAACTTAGTTTTTTGGTTGATTAATGACGACAGGAAAAGTGTGAATATTAAAAGAAAACGGATTATTAGGAACGTTGTAAGTCACGTGTAGTCATTACTATAAACTATATTTGTAATTAGCATGTGAAAGATAAGAATGTCAATTGAGGTAGACTTGTACACCTATTTTTGAATATTGCACAAATAAGACTGCACTCAGACACTCCTGGATTATCATTACATGACATCCTTGACTGTCACAACTTCGTTCTAAAGGGCTTTGATAAACAATTGTACGATGACACAACAGAAAACAAATATCATATATCGACATAAACTTACAACACCACTTATTAAGGATGTTCGCTCCTCTGGTTTTTGAATTTTTGCCAGATTTTTGAAATCCTCTGGTTTTATCCATGTTTTGCCATTAAATAATTTTGTCTACTGACCTCTACTTTTCTTTTCATAATTTTATTTCATATAGTTTTAAAAGCCATATTTGAAAATCTAATAAAATCCTTGTTATTTTTCATACTTTTTAAAAGAGAAAAGCTGACAATGTTAAAAGTATGAAAAATCTAGAGAGAATCATTTCCCGCCAAATTTTCAATGGCTTATATCTCAAAAACAAGCACATAGACCCTTAATTGTTTTCTGCCTCTTTAGTTCCTTTATTTATATACTAACAATTTATAACCTTCTTTTAAAAAGCTTGTTATTTTAAAACAGAGTAGCAAACATCCTTAATGCAAACATATGAACCAACAAACATCAAACCACCAAAACCTATAATGTACAAAGACAAATAAGGAAGATTACAAACGTCACCAGTGTAAAACGTCACCAGTGTCTGAGCAGAAAGTTGATGAACCAGGGTTATGTCAAAGAACGTCTCGTCCTTTTTCTAAAAAAGTTTATCGGAAGATACCAAGACCTTGCTGATAAATATTCCGTATCAACTTCACTGACGTTGTTTATCATCTTAATTACTTGTTATAGTGTTCTTTTATTTGTCTTTGTAAATTATTACCTTTACTGTTTAGTCCATTTTTTGGTAATATTCCTTTGGCGTGGCTCGGTGACAGTTGTTGTCCATTCGTTTGATGTGTTTTGTCATTTGATTTTGCCATGTGATTATAGACCTTCCGATTGAATTTTCCTCGGAGTTCAGTATTTTTGTGATTTTACTTTTTTCGGTACATATACATCCCGTCATTGTGTTATTGTGCTATGGTCAATTTTTGTATTCTTGTCTTTCATTTTTGCTTATGTGCTTTGTCTATATGCCATTTTGTTTTTCTTTGTTGACATATTTGTTTGTTTTTATAATGATTAAGATTATAACACGATGTTGACTGCTGTACCCCTATTTTTGACATTTTTACCTATCATGTCTGTTGGTTTTGTTCACACATTTTTGTCAAAATAAAGGAATTAATGCGACTTTCATACAAGTGAGAGGTTTAGCTAGCTATAAAACCAGGTTTAATCCAACATTTTCTACATAAGGAAATGCCTGTACCAAATTAGGAATATGACAGTTGTTTTCCATTCGTTTGATGTGTTTGAGCTTTTGATTTTGCCATTTGATAAGGGACTTTCCGTTTTGAATTTTCCTGGGAGTTCGGTATTTTTGTTATTTTACATTTTACCGTAAATTTCACAAAACACCTTGGGTGGTTTAAGATGCCCTAAAGAGGAAATATGTTCGACGAAAATTTATAATATAGTCAAACATAGAGGGAACGCTTCAGATAATTTAATCAGTTAAATTATTCAGGCAAATGATATGATAAATGATCTCTGTATAAACTTCAGGACTAGTATTTGGAATGATAAATAATTGAAAACATTATGGGAATATGTATGTAAAAGGCCTAAAATTTAACGGTCAACTCGTCAACAATTATCGTTGCATATAGGTAAAAACGCTGAATGGTTTAAATGAATAAAACTCTAAGAAATACATTTTTAAACTGTGAGAGAAGTAATTTTGAATGATGTTAGTGCCGAAACAATTAGTACGCGTTTGGTCTCATATTGGCACAAAAGGCTTACGAAACAATTTAAAGGTCTCGAATGTAATGGCAATTGATATTGGTGGTTGTATATTATTTTCAGTTTATAAATTATGTTATCATAAAATAATTAATTTAAGCATCCATCCGGCTAGTTTTATCAAGATTTGTTGATTCTTAATTAATTTGTGCATTTAGGTTTTTTACACTTAAATATGGATATTTAATATTGACGTTAAGGTAACAACGATGAATCATTTAACAATAACTTTCTTTTAAGATAAACGCAAAACTGTTATGAAAACATATCATTCAAAAGTAAAATAACAAAAATACTCCAATGAAAATTCAAAACGGAAAGTTCCTTAACAAATGGCAAAATCAAAAGTTCAAACAAATCAAACGAATTGAAAACAACTGTCATATTCCTGGTACAGGCATTTCCTTATGTAGAAAATGATGGATTAAATTTGGTTTTATAGCTACCTAAACCTTTCAAAATGAGACTAGAATATTCAAACTTAAAAGCAGCATACTCATGGCAAATAAACACAACACGGTGGCATCGCCTGCGCAGAAACCAAACAAATGAACAATGCAAACAATGTATTCCACTTAAAACAGCGACAAGCATCAATTTATCACATTGTATGAGACAAAATACTATCGTCATCCATCATTATATACTACAAAACACTAGACTGGTACCCCTTTGTATATCAGGATCCTGGCTAGATAATTGAATAGAACAAAACTTGACTCCAGTTCAACCTAACTTCCTCCGGAAAGAACTTTTCATTTCTCGCAAATATAACCCCTAAGCTAGCCTCCCTTTGCGCACCTAATAGAATGGAACTTATATCTTCTAGCAGCATAGAAGAACATAAATCGTGTGCCGCCTTCAATGTTCCATTTGGTTCTCTATTATCAAATACAAAGTACTTCATCTTGACCATTTCACCATCCTTCTTGAACCATCTCCAATCACCACCGGTGTTGTACATATTGACGTCGCGTGCGCCGACATATAATGCACACGTTTGAAATAGGAATAAAATAGAATTGCAAGTAGATAAAATTTGATAAGCATTTTGAATGGATCGCTTAATGTATGTCTGAACATGGTCGCTTTTAACTCTGAAATCGTTAAGCCTTCGAATCAGTTATTGCTAGGACATTTCATATGTAGTCAATACAAACTAACTTGCTCAGAAGCATTTAGGCACATGTAACCTATTTTAACTAACGCTGTATACATGAAAGAACGGGTTTGAGTTAATTCGTTAATGTAAATAGCATAAGTTACAGGCGCTTTTACGACATTATCTTCATTTAACTATGACTTATAGAAAAAACAAAGAATACGTTGTATCTATCCATGACACATCAAAAACACACAAAAAGCAAAGGAACAGCGCTTTTTTTGCCGTTTTTCATCTCAAAGTCACAGTATTGATCACAATAACAAGCATAGATTAATTTACTGAAAAAACCGTTACTTGTATGTTAGTTTATTTATTACGTTGATAGTTAACACCATATGCAATATATAGATTACCTGTGTTCTTTTTAAGGTTTCGTACTTCATTAACATTGCTTCATTTAGGGTTTCAAAGCTCGCGATGTACGCACCTCGTTGTTAGCATTTTGCATGAAAATATAAAAGATTTTGAACAAAATAACATCTAATCAAATGATAATCATTTAAAAACATGTCAATATAAAATAGTTTAATTATAATACAGGTGATTCCGCACGTGATTTGAGAAAATTGCAAAAAAGAGGTAAATATATATATATATACTTAAGAAAACAAAAGGGCGCCACCTCCGTGATTTGTTATTTTATGTTAATGCTTACATCAATATTTGTTAATAAAGAAAGGCTTTTAACTAGCT